AATGAAATGACAACAATATATATATATATATATATATATTTTTTTTTTCAAGACGGAAGATAGAGTGTTTGCTATGTTGACCTATATGGAAAAACTACGACGGAATTAAATGGTGAGACCTACAAAGTCGGCATAGCAGATCGTGATATTTCATGTCTACTAGTTTTATATTTCTCTATTTGATGTGTGGGTTCTAATTGATGATGATGATAAAGATACTAATTGGCGTAGCACCAACAGGGAACACTAGTTTACCGACTAAATTGGACGGAGAAAGAACCGGAAAGTCCGAATTTTCCTGGGTGAGAACGCACTACTCAACAGAAAATAGAGACAAGCTCAGAAATAATATTTGGGAAGAGAATTCTTATTTTCATGACTCTTAAAGAAGAGAACGTTCTGCCTTGTAAGGCTGCACCAAAACGACAGGAAGTTTTGCCTAATAAGGCTACATCAATGAAAACGACAATAACATGAAATAATAAGAAAAAAACGACAAGTCACATGAACCAAGGAGATAAACTGCTGCATCACTAATTGTTCATTAAAAGTTTCTAAGTGCTACTTGTTACTAAATCTTGAAATAATCATCCCCAAACTCTTGACATGCATGTTCAACTCTGATAATAGAGGCTTCGAACCAAGATATTATTATTGTTACCTAATTCTGAACAGAGAAATGTCGACATCGTACTCTTTTTATCACTCTCTGTATTCATTATTTGACATGTGGATTTTATTATTTCATTTTATGTTTAAATAATAATATATCATGTTACGTGGAGTCCACGTATCAAATAATGAATACGGAGAGTGACAACAAAAATGATGCTAGAATTTATCCTATGAACATACTTATTAATTTTAAGGGCATATTTACTTATGAGAATGGAGACTGAAAATTAATCCACGTGATGATGTTTATTTACTTATTTTTTATCTTAGAAGCGGAGAAAAATTAGAAGTCCTATACAAATTTTGAATTAAGTAATGGTATTGACAATCTCATGCCCCTCCATACTAGGTAATATTAAATTACTATATTCCCCCACTTTACTTGTAAAAGTTGGTTAAAAAAATAAAATTTAAAAAAATAATAATAATCACAACCAAATTTAAAGTTTTAGTTGCCTAAAATTATAACAATTTTCCTAATTATTATTGACTTCAATAAAATAAGTATATAATTTATGTTTATTTTAACAAATAATGTATTTCAATTTTTGATACTTTATTTTTAATTTTATTGTAATTGTATTTAATTTTCTTACTTTATTTATTATTTTCAAAATATCACACAACTTTATACTTATTTTTTATTGACCTAATATTATATAATTATTTTAGTTTCGATTGACATTATTAAGATAAGTATATTAGTATACAGTTTATTTTTTCAAATTGAAATCACAAAATTTACTCAAAGGATATACAAATAAATTTATAGTTGTTCATTCCAATTCTAATTAAGTTTGAGTAAATTAAGTATGAATTAGATCCGAAATAACTTCTATCACACACTCCTCCTATCATCAATCTTCTCTAGTCGTCTCGAGTCGATTTAGTCTCCAGTTAGTTTCAGTGGATTGGAGTTATTTAATGAGTACGTAGAATATATTACAGTACAACACATATTTGCAGATAATTGAATATCTAAACATTGGAAAAATGAACTGTTGCCAACCAAGCACTGATATCGCATATAATTTGATTCAAAGATCAGTCGTTTTAGCCAACATCACATCGTGGTTGCTAAACGACAGTTGCGTGTGTCTAGCTACTATTTTGAAGGCCGAGAGAAATTGCATTTACATTCAAAGGCGCCAAATCATATGTTCTTTATTAATTTAGTTTTGTTTAATTCAATATCCTGTAATTAGATCATTTTCCCTTATTATATGAATATTTATAGTGTATATTATTTGTGGCCTTGAATTGACAACGAAAAAAAAAAAGAATAAAAGACCTCTAGTCATCTAACTTCTCATTTTTTTTTTTCTTTGAATAAGTTTCTAAACTACAAAATACAAAGCCGGGGAATTAAATTAGTGTTAAGAAACTTTGGAAGGGATTTAACTAAGAAAAAAAAAAAGGTTAGTGGAAGCTGGACCTGTAGAGCATTCTGTTTTATAAGTTTAGGGACGTAGAAATCAAATTTCAAAATTTGACAAAACTATGATTGAAAAGTCACCAAGTAATGTCTAACTATTCTAACGACTCATGGGTCAAGATTCTTGGTAATCATGTTTATGATCATTTGAACAATAATCAATGGATTGAAACGGAAAAATTAATAATTGATTCGGTTCTATATTGGAACAAGCAAAGTGCTATAGTGGTGTAGTAAAGAAGTTCAAAACATAATAAGATGCAATTAGTGAAAAATAGTTGATCACTAGAAAGAAGAAAATACGAGCTATAGGACTAAAATTGAAGGAAAAATGTTGGGGTCATTATTATGATGTCAATTTATATTCTTTTTACAACTATTGCATATGCCACATTTGTCTCTTTATCTCCAACTATAAATTCTCCCCATTCCACTTCCCCGTCCCTACTAATGACTAATTATGATCATACGTTTGCATCGCCTAAATTAGCAGACAAAATTATACATTGCAGAGCGAGGGCAAAACAATTTTGTATTGGTGAATTGTTAAAGAATGCATGGAAAAATAATGGTCACGTATCAAGAGAAGAACTTAGGGTGGCAATATCGGAGATGGGGGCAGCATGGGGAAGTAAGAAGAGAGAAAAAGAGAAAACGAGATGATTCGAAAAAAAACCGTAATTGTTAAATCAATTGTGAGTGGATGCCAACATTTGGTATTCTACAACTATACCGAACCGAGCCGGAATTTTTTTATTATAAAGAGAAGGAAAAGCCCGAAGGCTGCTATCCCCTATCTCAATAGGGAAGCGGGCAGAACGAGGAGAGGGCCCATCAATCATACTACCACGGTCGAAAAAACGTGTGTGTTCCCTTCAGATCTTATGCATTGTACGTCTTTTTTATTTTTGATGAAAAACAAAACAAATCTCGATATCTGAAAGCGTTTTCTCTCATTTAGACCTCATTACTCTTCATTATTCCACTCATAATCTTGTGTGTTTCTTCTCATAATATTAGCCTATGTAACTTGTATCTTCTTTTCTTACTTACATTTACAGTTCTCAGCCTATAGAAGTCATATGAACATGTATTTTTGACCTTTTACAAATAAATGAAAGAATAAAATGTGATATCGTCTCTCATATTTTCCTTGCGTTTTCCTCTATTGTTCTCTTTGATTTCTTGCAATAAGTTAAGTTCTTGTATTTGTTTCATAACATCAATGATATCTTATCTATGCCCCATTAAATGTGAAAAAACTTTGCAATAATTACAATAAGCTTTTAAAGGTGGGGTGTTGGCACTCTTTGTCCTTAAACAATAAGCATTGTGACAATTTTGCTCATTGACTTTTAATTTGGGATGATTGATCCCCGGATTTTAATTTGTTTTTAAACAATTTTTATCCTTAATAATAAAATTATAAGTGACAAAAGTCCATCCACTTATCTAAGAGTAATGGACCGACAAAATACCTACTTTTTGTTAAACAATAAGATTAATTGTTTGATGAGTAGTTTTATAATCGGAAAAGGAGAAAAAGGGTGGTCATGTGAGATTTAAGTATCGTTTATTTCGCTGATTTAAGTTTAGAATTTGAGTTTTATTACAGTAACAAGCTCTCACAAACAGTCACATCTAACTTTTTTATTACAGTATAAAATCCTTACATAAAGTCACATCTCAATTCGAATTAGCGAACTAAATGAGCCCGTAGTATGGTTGATACAAGGATGATTCGTAGAGATATTTGCATATGCCTGTTATTTGAATTCAAACCGGTTTGCAGTTGAAGATATATGTGGAGGTTTATCTATGACATTGGTTTGAAATTCAACTAAGTTTGATTTGGTCAAAGACATGAATATTGAGATTGTGTCTGAGTTCAACTAAGACTTGATTACGTGAAGATATTGTCTATGTGGAGGTTGCCTGCGTTAATGAGGAGATATTTTGTAGATATTGGTGGAGATATCGTGAAAAGTGCAGATAATTGAAGTTCAAAATATGAAAATAATCATATGGTTGTTTACTTGGATTGCAAGTGAAAAGGAATTCCAATTCGATTGCTATATATATATATATATATAAATATAATATAGCATGGTGGTGAACGTTGGGTGTGTGCCTGGAAGAGAAAATATTAGGTTTTTATGTATTTGAGTTTTTAAAGTAATTTAAGGCCATATTTGGGGTGATTGGTTTTACATAGATAATTTTAGAAAAGAGTCTGTGAATTTAGTGAGCCTTGAGAGTTTATTCAAGATCGTTTTTCGGGAGAAAAATTAAAAGCTTTTAGGAAGAAGCGTATTGCCAGCTGAAAGGAGTTCGTCGCGTAATTTGAAGATGAGTGGTGCTCACTGGATAAAGTCACTAAGAAGATTCATCACAGCGGCGACATGGTTAATAAGGGAGTTTTTGAATGTATAAGACCGAGAAATGTTTGTAACCACTCTATCTGAGTGGTTTGTTCACTATCTAGACGTGACCTCACAGAGTAGGTTGTTTAACCGAACCGCGATACCATTTTTTAGTGTTCTTTATTTTTTCAGCATTATTTTCTACACGCTTAGTTATTTGTTGTTAAATCTAAAAATAACTATTAATCACCAGTGTTACTGAAAAATATTATAACACTCTTTATAATACCTACTGTAAAAACAGACCTTTCATTTTAATTTTTTTTTTTACCTTTTACTATTCAAATTCCTCTCGCGTCATCTACCATACCCCGTATGCTTAGACCTCAACGAACTTCAAATGCCCACGGAGTTCCCTCTGGCGTTCTTAAACCAGAATATCTTTGGTGCGCTCTCCCCTTGATTCTCTCACCGATCGTCGCTGCCCCAACTCCGGCAGATTCATGAGGAGTAATCTGGTGACAGCGATGTGGTATAGCTCTCCAATACCGGCAAGTCAACCATTTTCTGCATCTAATTGTCTCTCTTTGCAAGGCTTATTCATTCACTTCATGGGAAATCTTGGTTGGAAGAAGATTGAAAAACATTACTTGGAAATCAATATTGATCCTTGTTTGAAGATTGATCCTTGCTCAAAGATTGCTTGGTAAAAGTAAGATAGTGGGTTATGGCTTCTTTCTTTATGGACAATGAAGTTTTTTTTTTTTTTTTTTTGGGTGCTTTACTGCTAATGAAGGTTGGTCATGGATATGTGGTCCCGTTCTTTTTGCATATTTGAGTTTAGAATTCGAGTTTTGCTATAGTAAAAAACTCTAAGAAACAGTCACATTTAACTTTTTTGCTACAGTAAAAAGCTCTCACACAACATTACATTTCAACTTGAATTAAAAACTCGAATTAACGAACCGAACGAGCCCAAAATTTACCAAAATTTGAGCGGAAAAAAAAACCTCAAATTTGTTTAATATTATGGGAGAAAGAAGAAAATAGGCTAAGATTTAAAATAAATTAAAATTAATAGGCCAACAGTTTACATAAATTAATAAACATGTCAAATTACTATTTTCGTCAATAACTTATCTAGTTATGAACCATAGCTTGACAAATTATTATCCATAACTTATCTGGTTATGAACCCTAACTTGACAAGTTTGTCCATAATTTATCTAATTATGAATCATAACTTAACAAATTTATCTATAATTTATCTAATTATGAACTATAACTTAATAAATTATGATCTATTAATTTTTATAACTAAAAATTAACCTATATATTTTTTTAAATTTTTTATATTGACATATTTCTTACTATTTTCCTATTTTGTTTTGGCTGTATAGTACTGGGCCAGGATTAACCGAAAGGATTGCGCTAGTATTGACTGAAGAGAGGAAGACGAAGAAGAAGAATGGCAATACTTCAGTTATAGTTGAATGTAATACGTCTTCTTTTCGATTTTAATAAAAGCTAAAGGTGACAGGATCGCTTAAAAAGAAGTATCAAATGAAAAAAAAAAAAAGAAAAAAAAAAGAAAAGAAAACTAGGCTACACAGTTGGATCGTAAGAATAACACGCTCGGGACAATATGGATAGACACTCTGGCTTAGTTTAGTAGTGCTTCTGACCTTAAAAGCACTTTTTTTTTTAACTTAAGCTGTTTTTGTTGTTCGGTAAAAATCAAAATAAGTGCTTCTTCAATAATTTAAGCTGTTTTCACGAAGCTGGTTCCTGGGTGCTTTGGATTCTAGCTTATGCGGGAATCCCTTCCTTTCACATTAATGAAAAAATTTTATTCCCATTTTACCCCCGTTGAAACACAATAATCCCCATCTACCCACCTATCTCCATCACTCTCCGTTCTCTCTCTCGTGACTGAAAACCTCTTGCAAGCCCATAGATTTCTTGCGAGATTTCTGGGTTGATTTTGATCGTGAGGTTGTTCGATCGATTTCGTGTTCTGATTTCGGCTTTGTTTTCTCCGTTTTTCCGGTAAGTTCGTCGATGTCACTGTTCTTTGTTTTAGGTTTTGGATTTTCATTATTTTGGTTTTGTCTCTGATTTCCTCTTGATTTTCATTCTCCTTTAGTCATGGTCCATTCAAGGTGATGCGTTGATGAAAAGGATGTAATCCGTTTAGTTTAGGCGCATTTTACTAATAAATTAGTGTCGTGAAAAATTATTGTTATTCTGTACAACGAAATTTAACATTTGCAATTAGTTAGATCAAAGTGAAAATTGCTACCACAGAGCAAGACTTTGAATGTCGTTAATACTTTTGACCATGTTTTTAATGGGCTCATGGAGAAGAAAATAAAGAGAAAAGAGAAACGTTGAAGAGACATCTTTAGCAGATGGTTTAGGATTAAAAAAGAATTTATTGATTTTATAATTTCTATAACTAGTGAGGATTTGCTACACTAGTGATCGACGTTTACAACCTTTTATGAATTTTACTACCCTCCCAGGTCTTGTTGTCGGTAGACTCATTAAATTCATACATTTAACCTTTTATGTATTATACTACCCTCCCAGGTCTTGTTGTCGGTAGACTCATTAAATTCATACATTGCTTGGGATTTCTCGGTGGTGCAAGGCAAGATATCTTTGGTATTGTTCTAAACTTCCATTAATGCTATCGCTTGATAATGAAATTTCTTTCGTTTATAGTTCTTTCTTTTTAACAACTATTTGCCATTTTATGGGGAGTATAAGGAAATGATATGCATCGTGTGTTTGCATATACATTGCATTATTTAAAAGTTTGTTACTTCTCTCTTTTGCTAAAACCTGTTGTCTTTTTGTTCAGCATTAGTTGCAACTTTTAGTGACTTAGTTCTTTATCTCTGGTAGTTTCATCAAAAGTTATTTCCGCTAACTGTTCGTGTATGATATATCTGTTGTTTATCTTACAATGTAGGATGTGGTAGATAAGGAAGATTATCAAAAATCTTGAAATTTAAATTGCAAAAATAATTAATCAGAATATTAGAGAAGAATTTTGCTGTAGTAATTGTTTGATTTTAGATTGGATGATTGATTTTGGTTAATGAAAGGAACGATTGGAATTTTGAAGTTCCCCTCCCGCCTACCCCTCCTGCCCTTTTTAATTATGTACTTGCAAGTTCAAACACTGATTTTAAATCTACAGACAATGAGATTTTGTGCAGGCGAATTTGTGATGGCTTTTGCAGTTGTTAAAATCTCTGTAATCTGGATCTCAATGTTATAATTTATTTCAAAATTGTTGACAACATACATTGAAAATAAGCTATATCTTGTGTTCCAGGATATTGGTTTCAGTGTGGAGTATACAAACTCTTCGGGAGAAAAAACTGTAAGTTGCAGTACTCTGCTTACCTACTACCATTTTATGTGATGTTTCGACTTTCAACTCGATTCCCTCTTTAAAACAGTCTTTGTTGATTATATTGTTTCGTTGATGGTTGCTGCGCAGCTAATATTGCCCTACCGACGTTACGAGGCTGATCAGGTGAGTTTATTTTTCCCCTCCTGTCTCTAGTGGTCTTGCAACAGTTTGATGATGATTGCTTAAATTTTTTTTTTGGATATTTGTTCTTTCAGGGCAACTTCTGCACATGCATGGCTAGAAACTACAAACTAATTTGGGACAATTCATACGCAAGTTTTTTTAAGAAGGTAATGGTATATTTGAGGATTGCCAACATTCATTTCTCGCGTACTTTCCCTCTTCCCCTATATCGTTATACTTGTACCAAATGTTTAGGTGAGAAAAATTATGCATTTTATGTTGTTTTAACAGGTGCTGCGGTTCAAGGTGGATTGCATACCTCCAGTCGTGGAGTCGCCGCCGTCCGATAACCAAGTAGAA